GGCACTGTTCTAAGTGTTTTACATATAATTATTATATCTAATTCCCACTGTAGCCCTTTGATACAGGTACTATTACTATAAATGTTTTACCGGTGAGGAAGCCAAACTAAAGTAACTTGGCTAAAGTCACACAGGTAAGAAGTGGAGCATGCTCTTAATCATTATGCTACACTGACTTTCCAGAGGGGTTCTGGTTAAGATGGCGAGCCATCCTGCGGCACCTTGCTGGCTCAGTCGGAGGAGCATGCTACTCTTGATCTCGGGGTTGTGAGTTCAAACCCCATGTTGGGTGCAGAGATTACTTAAAATAAATAAACTTAAAAAAAAAAAGAAGAAGTGGAGAACCATCCTGTGTAAATGACCCTTTCTCCATGAGGTCCACTGTCAGATCATTCTGCTCTTTCTTCCATAGGTCATCATCGTCCTTAATACATCTATTTGTGCCAAGGGCTGCCCTGACTTGGATCTCCTCAAGATCTTCACAGTCTGTCTGTATGAGTACCAAACTGCCAGTCAGTCTAAGTTAAGGTTCCTACATGGGATAGCACAGAGTTGAAGCTCCTGTGCACACTTCTAGGTGTGGTATGAGACCCCCTCATGGACTGGCCCCAACCTACTTTGCCAGTCTCACCACCTACTATGACCCTCCACCCCATCCCATGCATTCTCTGCTCTAGTCACACTGAACACACCCTACTCTTTCTAGACTCTGAACCTTTGCACGTGTCTGTCTCCACTTCACTACTGCCCTTGATCCAACAGGCTAAGCACTTACTACGTGTTAAGGTTACGCAAGTGATTGCCATACAATTCGAGAAGTACTCTAATCGATATACGCTACAATGTACCACAGGAATTCAGAATCAGGGGAGGACTCATTCTCTCTGAGGGACTTGGTGGGGGACACAGCGAGGGGAGAAGAGAGGTGAAGCCTTCACACGGGAGATGACATCTGAGCTGAGTCTGGAATGATTAGGAGTCTGCCAGTCAAGGAAAGAGAAGGAAACCTCCAAATCGTCTTTGGCTCCTTCATCTCCCCACGCTCAGACATGAAGTCCTACATAGATTTTATATCCAAAGTGTGTCTCACATTTGTCTCCTCTTATTCCTTCTGCCACTGTCCTAGTCGAACAGGCCCACTTGGGCCATTGCAAGAGCTCTGTAACTGGTCATTCCGCCTCTCATCTTTCCCATCCCCAGTCCGCTCTCCATGTGGCTGCTGGAGTCAGCTCCCAAGCCACAAATCTGAAGGCAGCACTCCTCTTCTCAAAACCCTTAGTGGTGGGCGCCTGGGTGGCTCAGTCAGTTAAACGGCTGCCTTCGGCTCAGGTCATGATCCTGGGGTCCTGGGATCGAGCCCCGCATCGGGCTCCCTGGTCAGCGGGGAGCCTGCTTCTCCCACTCCCTCTGCCTGCCACTTTGCCTACTTGTGCCCTCTCTCTATCTCTCTGTCAAATAAATAAATAAATAAAATCTTAAAAAACAACAACAAAAAACCCTTAGTGGTTTCCACCACCGGTAGGACAGTCTTAACCTCTTACAGTGACACCCAAGGCCCATCACAAGCTGGTCTTACTTTCTCTTTCCTGTCTCCCCTCTGGCCATTCCACTCCTCCAATCCTCCGCGGTAGATTATCTGTCTCACTCAAGACGGCATCCCACCCTTTCAGATACCCTGTCTGTGTCCTATGCCCACCTTATTCTCCCTCCCTAGAATGCCACAGTCCTTTCCCCCGCCTGACCGGTTCAGCCTGGCCTCATCCAGGAATCAAAGGGGGTCCAGCTTGGGGGGCCCTTCCGGCCCCTTGTCTATCATAGGTCATGTCTGGCGTTTGCATATTGTGGAATCAGGAAATGGAGCAAGCATTCCCCACTAGCCACCACTGTGTGCACCCAGGCTATCTGATTGGGCACCTGAATCAGCTCATGGTTGCCATGCCAATTCTCTGTGGATACTGCAGCCTGCTTTGAAATCCTAACCCGGTTTTTGGGGGGCCTTGACTATTCGAAGGAGCCATTCCCCTCATCCAGGAGCTGCCTCTTCTCCTTGCCCCCAGCTCCTAGTATCTCTGCACACGGATGCCTCCTAAAAGACCACAAATGTCCCTAAAAGCACCAGTACCAGGAGAAAGAGTGCATAAGAAGCTCCTGTTACTCGGCCTTTTCTGCCCCCAGATCAGATCCCTTGAATATGCAACATCTCTTGGACCTTGGTGTTTGGGCTGCTGTCCACTCCCTGCGGGAGCCGACCCTGTTATCAGCCCACGAGCCCCAGCCTAGCTGAACCAGCCTCACTCCTTTCTGACTCCCTGCAAGTTCTAGCATGCCTTCGGGCTGTGGTCTCTGTGCTTCTGCTAGTATCCTACCTTACTTTGCAGTTCCTAACCAGCTTTTGAACACATCTGATTGGATTCTCACAAAAGTTCTGGGAAAGGAGAGGTAGAGAGGGCGTTATGCTCCGTATATTGCAGACGAAGAAACTGAGACTCAGGGTAGGTATCCTGTGTCCAGGGGGACAGAGCTCACAAATGGCAACCCCGGTCTCCGTATTGCAAAGCTTTCCTTGCTGCAACCACCACCGGTCACTCCGTGGTTTGACTGTGTGGCAGGTGCTACGCCCACTCACCTCGCATTTCTCCCCTACACACACTCTTGTGACAAGCCTCAGATCAAAAAATCAGTCCTGGGTTAGCCCTCCCTGCAACACTGTGTACCCCAGCTCCCCTCAGGGTCCTTTGGCCTGCTCCCATCTGGTTCACAGGACGCAAGGGTCAGTGTCGTCCCTTTGGCTGTATAGCCGGCTCGTGGCTTTATTGTCCCACCACTGCCCCCTGGGGAGGAAAGCCTTGATCTGGAGTTGGAGCCTCTTTCCAAGGGAGGTTCTCGTAGTAGAGTCGTTTGGAGAGAAACTCGGTGTCTGAGGCGATGATGGATTTCGCGGTTCTCCACGTGGGGAGGGCAGGAGGTTCTTGTGTGGAACCGGGAGGACATTTTTATTTTTATTTTTTTTTAAGATTTTATTTATTTTTCCACAGAGAGAGAAACAGCAAGAGAGGGAACACAAGCAGGGGGAGTGGGAGAGGGAGAAGCAGGCCTCCCGAAGAGCAGGGAGCCCCACGCGGGACTCGATCCCAGGACCCTGGGATCACGACCTGAGCCGAAGGCAGACGCTTAACGACTGAGCCACCCAGGCGCCCTGGAGGGAGGACATTTTTAAAAAGAAAATCTTTTTCTTGATGGCCTTTTGGACAGAGAAGAGATGCTCTGTGTTCCTTGTGTTCTGCTGGTGGTGGTGGTGGGGAAGATTTTGATAAGGGATCTCTCCCACCATGGGAGACCTGGGGGTGGGGACCTCTCTTCTCCCAGGATATGGTGTCGCTTTCTAAAGAGAAAGGACATTTTTTTTTTTTTCAGAAAAGTAATCTCTCTCTTTTAAGAAAGGGGGAAGCTGTCAATCAGGGATTGCCGAGGGTGGGGGAAAGGCTTGCTATCTCCTTTCTTTTCTAAAGGAGGAACCTCCTCGAATGAGGAAACCTTCCCTGCTTTCTGTCGGAAGGGGAAAGACTGTTTCTAGAGGAGAACAATTCTGATTAGAGAAAATGCCTGATTTGCTCTTCCTTTCTGATGCGCTTGTCACACAGAGTCACCGGACTCTGACAGGGAGTGGGAAATCATTTTTTCTGTTAAGAGGTAATGGAGGGGTGCCTGGGTGGCTCAGTCAGTTAAGCGTCTGCCTTTGGCTCAGGTCATGATCCCAGGGTCCTGGGATCCAGCCCCGCATCGGGCTCCCGCTCAGCGGGAAGCCTGCTTCTCCCTCTCCCGCTCCCTCTGCTTGTGTTCCCTCTCTCGCTGTGTCTCTCTCTGTCAAATAAATAAAATCTTTAAAAAATATATTAAAGAGGTAGGGGAACTGAGGCGAGAAACTTGCTGGGGGTTGGGGGGGGTGTGCTTTTACTCCGAAGGCTCCCTGGTGAGGGCAGCAACTCTGAGATGGGGAAGCCCCTGTGAGTCCGGGGAAGCCTCTTAGGAATCCCAGAAGCCCGGAGTGCTAAAGGGAGCTCAGCCATGTGCTAGGCCCGCCTTTGTTTGCTCACAGGGAAACTGAGGCTTGGGGAAGGGAATGTCTTACTCCTAAGGGACAGAACAAGGACGTGAACCCAGCTTGGTCAAGTCCCAGGTTGGGGCTTTTCCCATCACATCTGCCAGAGGGCGGGGAGGCTACCTGGTGCTTCGGAGTGAGGAGATGGGGTGAGGAGACATCCCCGCCCCCCCGGCTATGAAAGTTCTGACCTGTGTTTGGAGACATCTCTGGGATGGGAGGCATTGAGTCCTGAGGGAAGGCAACTGGGGACGAGGGTAGGATTAGGGACTATGTCCAATCCAGGTAGAGGGGTCAGAGTCCAGCAGGTGGCTTGTGGGGGCATCAGTTTGCAGTGAGGCGCCGAGTTTCAAGGGAGGAAGGGGGCTATTTCTCCCAGGAGCTTGGAGGAGGGGCCCTCGCCCAGGACCTGTGTGCTACCCTATCCGACTTGCGAAATCTTTCTATCATTTCCTGTCTCTCCAGAGGGAGTTGTCATTTTAATGTTTTTCAAATCAGAGGAAGGGGCCCAAGGAAACTTCTTGAGGTAATGTAAATGTTTTATAATATATTGCGGCTGTGTTTACAAAACTGCACGCAATCATGAAAGCTCCATAAACTATACTTAGAATGGATAAAAAAAAAATAAAAGGAAAGGAAGGGGGTCAGGGCATCTGATCCCCATAAAGCTGTGATTAAAACATTGTTAAGGCCCCCGCAAACCAAAAGCCAAAAGCCAGAACCAAACCAACACCCACCCCCCCCCAAAAAAAAGAAAAAAAAAACAAGGCAAGAATGGCTCAGGGTCTCACTATTTCTGCTGCCCATCGCTTTCTAGGTCAGCAAAACACCAAGGCCAGCTCATCCAGGGGGAGGTCAGAGGTTGCAAGAGAAAGAACTTGACAAACACACAAGCCACCTCTTCGTTTACTGTAAAATCCCGTTTAATGTGTAACATTGCAGGCACAGAGAGGCCTTGGGAAATGAGGCAAAGATGGCCCTGACCAACCCCCACTGCAGCTTATCTGCCTGTCCCTCCCTCCCTAATTCCTCCACCCCGGACGTGTCCTCCTTTTCCTTGTGGCCCGCAAAGCGCTGTCCCTCAAGTTTTCTTGCCTTGCCTACCCTCCCTTCTTCCCCCCACGTGTCCACAGCACCCTCCTTCCATTGCACTTGCCCACGTCCCTCCCCACCGATGTGACTCCAGAAATAGGGTCTGTGCCAACACGGGGTTAAGATTAGTTTCATAATTGGAGATGCTGTCAGAGCATCCTATCTCTTGTCCCCAGTGGCCCCAGGGAGAGGGAAGGGGAAAGGGAGTACAGACAAGAAGAGCTGCCCGCACGCCCCTGCCCACAACCTTGAGCACTGGCGCGGGTGACCTCCGGCTCCCCACCCCCTTCGGGCCCCTCAGACGAAGGCCCTGTGCGAGGGAGGGAAACCAGGGAGGGAAGGGAGATTCTGATGGAGCAGTCCCTAGCAGGCAGAGGCCTGCGCCCCGGCAGGGGAGAAGGAGGGGCAGGCTCCGGGGCGGGATGGGAGGTTGCCTGGTGTGTGGCATCAGCAGGCCGAGCAGCGGTCGCTCTTCTCAGCCAGCCCGGCCCCAGTGCCGGGGCTGCGGCGTAGTATGTCTTTCAGGGAGCCTTCCTGCTCGCTCAGCAGCTTGTTGATCTCATTCTGCTTGTATTCAGGTGAGAGGCGGTGGCCGAAGCCCGAGCCCTTGCGGGAGGGCGGATTGGAGCGGCGCTGGGCTCGGCGGGCGCAGGCCCGGATGATGAGGTACACCACCTCGGCCACGTTGAGGATGATGCAGATGCCAGAGGCGGCCAGCATGAAGACCGTGAAGACGGTTTTCTCGGTGGGGCGGGACACGAAGCAGTCCACCGTGTTGGGGCAGGGGTAGGCCTCACACTTGACGAGCCGCACCATGGCGTAGCCGGGGTAGAGCAGATAAAAGACGTACATGAAGGCGGCCTCGAACAGCAGCCGGAAGACCACGCTGATGACGTAGGTCCACCACAGTGTCCCTGAGATGTGGACCTTGTGCCTCTTCACCTCTTCCAGGTGCAGGGGGTCCGCGTGACCCTCGAGGCGCAGCATTTTCTTTTCTATGTGCTGCTGGTGAGCCACGTGCATGGCCACAAGGAGAGCCGGGGTGGACACCAAGATGAGCTGCAGAGACCACAGGCGCACGTGGGAAATGGGGAAGAAGTGGTCGTAGCAGACACTGTTGCAGCCGGGCTGAAGGGTGTTGCAGATGAAGGAAGACTTCTCGTCACCCCACACGCTCTCCGCGGCCACCACCAGCACCATGATCCTGAAGATGAAGATGACCGAGAGCCATACGCGACCAATGGCAGTGGAATGCCGGTTCACGCCACTGAGCAAGGTGTACAAACCTGTCCAGTTCATCCTGCCTCATTCACACCTGCAAAACACGAGCCACAGAGCAGGCTGGCAGAAAGCTGGGGCAGAAAGCTGGACACCGTAACACGGCCTGACACACCCCCCCACCCCCGTCTCCCCTTCCGAGAGCCAGTGACAGGAAGGGAAGAAGGATGGTCATCGCTTTCCTCATCACCCCATGTCCCTTGCCAGCCTCTCTTCCTCCTCCTCCTCCTCACTTGACTTGACCTCCCTGAACCCCATCTCCCTTCTTCGCTTTCGTCCAACGTTCTTTCCTCTCCAGAGCCCCTTTCTTCAGCAGGCCCATTTTGTTCTGCCATCAGCCATCCTCTTTAGCTCCCCATCCCCCAGCTCCTTAGCTCTGGACCTGGGGTGAGCCCAACAAAGCCCATTACCTTGGGGAGCGCCTATCCCTGAGGCCACCCAGACAGGTCCCCTATGGTCTCATGTCTGTGCAGGGGGAGTGGTCCCTGGGTCCGCGCCTGCGTTCCAATTCATCGCCGCCCGGTGCTGGGGAGTCATATGCTGCTTTATACCCAGTGTCTGCACAATGGGACCTTTGTGGGGCTCTGAACAACGCCCTTTAGAATTCAGATCAAACGCCCTGACTTCCGCCCACCCTACACACAGAGCACTTGTGTCCCAGCGCCGGACACCCAGCCTGCACCCACCTGTTCTGTGCCCGCCCGGTCCATCGCCGCACCCGCCCCACAGCCCCACCAGAAGAATGGCCATGGCGAGGGGTGGGGGGAGATGGGACAAAGACAGGTGCACGTAAAAGGGGACCCGAGGGGACCAGGAGGCTCCGGGCTGAGGCTGTCGCCCATGACTCTCCTAGAAACTTAGGGTCAGCCGGACTTTTCCTAGGTTGAGAGCCCCTGCACGGTATGTATGGGGGAGCTCGCTCGTACGTCCCATAAGCTTTTTCCCATACATTCTTTCTTCGGACCCACTCAGCAGGCCTCCAAGGACTTTATCCCAGTCTGTCCAGATGAGGAGGCCGAAGCTCAGATAAGTCAAGCAACTTACTCAAGGTCACACAGCTAAGAAGTGTTACAGTAGGATGAAATGCACAAGCATCTGAAGCCGAGGCTTAGGCTCTTTCCCCGGTAGGCCCTTCGTGCTTTTTGCAGCGGGTGTCGGCAAAAGCAAAAGCCAGCCGTTAAGAACGACAACAAAAGCAAGGGTTAATGCTCCCCACGAGAGCACGAGGAACATAGCAGCTGCAGACCCCTGAGTACTTTCCAACTCTGGTGTCATGGAGCAAACCCTGACCATCCCTCCTTGAGCTTCAGGTGACAGGTGGGCACCAGAGCGAGAAGACAAAAGTTAACAAGCAAACAGAAGGCTGGAAGATGGGACAGGGAAGAGTCATACGCCTTTGGGTTTGAATCCGGGTTCTTCGCCTAACACGACCGCGGGCTAGCTCCTGACCTCCTCTGAGCCTGCTCGCTCATCTGTAAGTGGGTTGTTAATACCCAGGGTTACTGTGAGCTTCAGTGAAGCCACCTGCAGAAAGTTCTCGGCCCAGCTCCAGTTTCATAGCTGGTGATCAAGGGAGTAAGCACCTTATCGGAAAGAGAAAACATGTTGCTTCAGGGGACTGGGTGGTCTGCCAACCCCAACGTCCCTCCTTTCGCTTCCCAATGCTGCCGTTGACGTATAGTGCCCGTGCAGAGATGGAACAGGCTGTTCTGTCCTGCCCCCGACAGCAAATGGACATTGTGACCTCCTGCTTTCCCGAGCCTGCCAGTGGCTCTAGGGCAGAAACTCCCCTCTGCGCTTTGCGCAGGGGAAGAAGGCCGCCCCCCTACCTCCCATCACTTCTTTTTTTTTTTTTTAATTTTATTTATTTTTGCGAGAGAGAGCATGAGAGGGGTGAGGGTCAGAGGGAGAAGCCGACTCCCTGCTGAGCAGGGAGCCCGATGCGGGACTCGATCCCAGGACTCCAGGATCATGACCTGAGCCGAAGGCAGTCGCTTAACC